CGCTCGTTATCTGTTGTTGGTGGTCTTCGGATCTGGATACGGATACGTGTCGAGACTTTCGCGTGGAGTTGACTAAGTCAGCGTCAAGCCGGAAGCGTCTTGGCACGTTGACGTTGATTTATGCTTTTATACGGTAGTACGCCCGCTGCCCAATTAGAAGGCGCCGCCGGCCACTAGGCTTAGATGCGTGTATGAATCAATCAATCAATCAATCAATCAATCAATCATATCTCACCTTCTCGCGACAGTGAATCTGACCTTAAATAGTAATATTAAATAGTATTCTCCGAACATGAGCTATCTTGATAATGGCGATTAAAAGACTTTTATTGTGGTGCCCATTTTGGAGCACGTAGTTTATTGGGCTTATCCTCATGATTAGCATCATTATGCTACTGGCTCTAGATGTGCTGCGGCCAATTAACAAATATTATTGTAGCAGCGCATATGGCGTTCTCCCTCCAAAACCCCCAAGATAATACTGGCCTGAGTAACTTTAACGAAAAAACAGAAAAGAGAAGAGGGTAGGGTAGGCTGAAGGGAATAGTGGAGCCGGTGCATATGCACGGTGGTTTCATTGCTTTACGAGCTCGTCTATTACCCAATACATACGATTGAGAAGACTTTCTGAGAAGAAAGTTTCCTCAAGGCACACAGCTTAGTCTGACATCTCCGCTTTACGCAGTCCAATGTCAGTTCGGATTTTGAACGAGGCTAGATATAAATTGTCACATGATCACTTATTAAGAAATGCCAGTCACTTGAACCTCTCATTGTTCGCCATTCTTGAGACGGATCCTGAACGCAGCTTTAATTCAGCCACACAACTGGCGTAATTTAGGTAGTCTGAAAATCCATGTCACTATCTGTTGATTGGTCCACAATGCTCAGAAGACTCTCTTCTCAGGGTAGTAAATTACGGACTAAGAACCGCCTATACCCATGTTCTGCTTAGAGCAGTTAATAGAATAGAATTTTCATTTTAGTAAATAACAGGCTAGCTGAACAATAGATAAACTAATGCAATGAGAATATGCAGACTGTGACGGGAAGCCGATCCAAATAGATAGCATTTCTATTCCTAGAGTACTATGTCGACGAAGAAACTGAGTATGAAGAGGGAAACTATCTATCGAGGAAAAACAGTCCGTATTTATCGACCTCCCTCCTCACCCACTGACAGTGCTGCCTGTCTCATACAAATTCCCTGCTGCCGACCGGTGTCCCAATATGGGATCGATACATATCAAAAGCAAACAACAACGCCGATTGATATTTACTTATTGGCAGGGATCTCCATACAAGGATTTCCTCATCAATAAGGGACGTGCGGCGGCAAGCCCGCGGAAGCTAGGGCTAAGGCGTTACACAGACTGCTGTGTACGTAATATTCTCTGCTTAAGGCGGCTAATAGAATAAAATATTTATCTTAATAAATTACAGACTGTTTAGGGTGGTAGAAGAGCTACATTATGTTTTCTGAGAGGATAGATATATAACGGCGGAGTGTTACGGGCTTTGACCAATTATGTGAGAGACTAGTGTCCATACCAAATTAGCAATAAGTGCGGGAAGCCCCACTCGTACTTGATATTCTGGTCTTTTTAGTGCAGGGGTATCGACGCGGGAATGCTCCCCTGTGATTCGTCCATGACAAATAGTAGAGTATTCCATGACTCGACAATCTGGGGATACCGGCTTATCTTCATTATGTCGCTGGTTTCGCTTTAGTCAAATTCGACGTGGGTGATGTTCCACTCGACTAAGCGTGGTGCATGTGATTAAACGACTGACGAAAAGGCCGGGAGAAGTCTATCCAGCAACAACCCCACAAAAGGACTTTGTCACGATCGCATTGTCCAAGTTTATCCTGGCCAAATCTGTTGCGGGGAACCAGCACTGCATTCATACTGTGGAGATCGCCGCTCCGGAACGGGCAAGCCAGTAGCTGTGATGGACTTGGTCAAGTGCGCTAGTTATTTTTTCTCGCCATTTTCAACTCAATGCAAGATCACTGATGAGGCAATTTGCAACGCATAAATGCTGCAAGTGTAAGCTATACAGTTGTGGGTATCTTCTCAGCTTTGCTTTTCATCTAAGTAAATCTAACGCTGGTTCCCTCACGCCAGATGCTAATGCAGTGTAATAGCCTGATACTCCACCGATCGACTGGGCCCCTGCAGGCCAAGACTAGATACTAACTTAATTAACTAGTATGCGTTATCTTAATTAGGTAAAAAGTGGGCACTAGGCTCTCGAATTATTTGCTCAAATCATATCTGGAAGGTCATAAGGTCGAAGATACACAAGCATTCAGCTGTCCAGGCACTCATTCAGCCAGCCACAAGGTCCCATTGACTACAAATTTCTACACCATTAACTGAAAATAATTCTTTACAGCTCCTGCAGCTAGAATTGTGAGATCAGATAGGAAGAGGCAAATTGTATGCAGTGGCTCTAACACTAGTTGTCAAGGTTGGATCGAGATCCGCCATGCAGTGGACCGCTCCGTGATGAGTTGGCTAAGTTCGGCGTTATCTACCGAGGGGGGGATTGGATAGAGAGATTGGCAATGTATATATTCTAGTTACACGTCTGACAATCGAAATATTTTCAATGAGAGGAACATTGCTATGTCACTCTATTAATTTGTTTTAATTATTTGATTTATATACCTTTCTTGGCATCTTGCTATAACCTAGTATCAAGTCTCAAAGCCATGAAGCTTGCGGCTATTTTCGCACTCGCGCTCTCGATCGCTTCGACGCAAGCCCAGAACTGTAAATGGCCACTTGAACATCCTTGGGTAGTAAGCGAAGTGTCGAGCAAAACCAGTGAAAGCTTTGCACATGACACAGGTATCACTGAATACCACCTCTTTGAGCCCAGCTTCAGTTATTACGACTATAAACTCTGCATTTACGTCAATCGGCCAAACAAATACTATTTCTACGACCAGACAGGCGATGGCTATTTCCTCTCTGTCTGGAATATCTTTATATGGCATTGCGTGTCATATAACTCTAAGTCGCCAAACATTGTTCGAGTCGACTCCGAATGCCCAACCTCAGATTGAATGTAGTTATGAACCAGGAAGCCATTCAGTATGTCCTAGTACATGTAAGTTACTCTTGTTAGAGATCTGTGTCTAGGTTACTAATAGAGCCTTGAAGGATGAATGTTAGATTTCAACAATCCGACCTTTTTCAACCCGCTGGGTAAATTCAATTGTAACAAATCCCTAATTTAACTTAGGAAAGTTAGTATTTATTATGTTTTTATTTTCCATGTCAACTAAGTCTCTTGGTCTTACTATCATTATCGTTCTTATATTGAATGGAATTTTTATCTCGGTTTCTCAGACCATCACATAGTCATATACTGACCAACTGGAGGATATTAGACTTTGAATTGTCGCATCCAGGAACTTTTGCTATTGTTTCAATGTCCCGGTACCGTTGCTCAAGTCTCGTCGGATTGCTTGCGTGAACCCAAAATATGCAGCTGTTAGAGCAGATTTTCGAACACGGTATATATACTCAATCGCTATCTGAGATTTCCTGGGACATATTCAGTTATGATACATCATTCTCTCATACATTACTCACCCTACCCCTCCCAGGCCAACAAATGCGGCACGCTTAGAATTCCTAGTTCTTTCTTGAATAGCCCTGTTGATACTCATGACCATTGGCGATATCCGCACTAGACTTCAACACAGCGCAGAGGTCTACCGATACCAAAAATTGTCTAACTGTCGGTATAGCAATCTTACCTATCTCGGCGCGGGAATGGGATATAGTTTATCCGTGCGCTATAGCGTACGGAGGATAACTACATCTCACCACCCGCATCCCCCTAGTTCTTAGGATTAGTCGCAATATTAGGAATTCAGTATTACTGGCTCAGTCAGCTTGTTGGATTAGCTGTCCTTCTTAGATCTTGCGATCTAACGAAGGTAAACCAACACTAACTGTGGGTGCGCTTCTGCACATGTGCACACAAGTAGCTTAGTAACCAATTGGTAAAGTCATATTATTCTGATTGTCTGTCTCTTGTCGCTATTCGACCTCGACGCGGTAGATCATCCCTTCGTGTAGTGTCGAGGATTAGGTAAGCTAAACCTAATCAGCATCGGCTCCCACTAACGTAATTCCTAAGCGAACCGCCCACCCAAGCGACCCGCCCACCTCCCCGAAAAATAACTCTCTATATTGATTTCAAATCACAATTTCTTAATCACATACAAATTATATACAAAAAATTAATTAGTAGTACGATTAGGACATCGATTAATTTTATGCCCTTCAACACCACAACCACTGCAGCGAAATTGGCGGCGTACGACTGCTTGAGAAGCTGGGAGCTCCGGCTCAACTGGAGCAGCCGTAACAGCTTGAGATGCCTCAACCTGACCTTGTACAAGCGCTTGAGCTTCTTCACTAGTAATCCCATGCTCAATAGATATCTGTTTCTTAGATTTTTGGCGTTTTTGCTTCTCTTTTTCATTCGCAGCTCGTAAATCATGGTTTTCTTTCCGTACGAGTAAAGTATCATTCGCTAGTATTTCGTAGGCTTTTGACAACCGTATAACTGCCTGATTGATTTCTTGATTCTGATTTCCTGTGCGCTCATTTATATGTTTATTGATTGTAGTTGACTGGCGTACAAATTGGCGTATATTTTGAGGTGTTTGTAAGCAGGATGATGCTGTATTGCTTGATCGACTTGGAGGGGGGGTTGGAGTCTTCAATTGAATATTAAGATATTGAAGAACTCGATCTGGATTGAAAGGCACTAATCCAGTGGCTGCGAAGCTATTCTGAATAGATTGAGCTTTATATGCCACTGTACGAGCCTGTGGAAATGCTGTTAAAAAGTCCATTTT